TAAGGAAATGTAATTCGGTATTAAGAACTTAATTAAAATATTCAATAATTTAAAAGTATAGGTAGATAGATACTTGTGTATAAACTTTCTAATTACATACATTTTATAGATCACTACTTATTGTTAAAAATAATTTAAAAAATAATATTAACAAAATACATACAATAGAAGTGTTGACAAAAATAATACCTTCACATCAATATTAAAATACAGTCGTGACTTGTGGTGGCTGGAACCCGATTGAGCACGATTGATCTTTTTCATAACCCGATTTAGCAAGGTTGCAATCAAATAATAGGAACCAAAAAAAACGACACGATTGAGCACGAGAATATGTGAGACGTTGCCGCTTTGTACCGTAGAATATTATTCAGTGCACCGTATTATTGTATTTGCAAGATTTTGTTATAATTATTATGTAATTCAATTTTAGATTCGTAACGATTATTTCATAATTTAAAATTTTTACAGCTTAGTTTTTCTAAAATAAATAACTCTCCAATTGAAAAACATCGCCATTTTTTCTAATCCCAATAAACCTATACTTAAAAGCTCCGACATTAGCTAACTCTTTACCTCTTTCAGATAAAATAATGTTTTTTTCATTATTTTCCATTTCAATTTGCAAAATACACGTTATTTAGGAATATAACACTAGTACACGAGACAACAGAACAGACTATTATTAACAGCGTAGGTACATACAATAACAGTGCAATAGTTGTAGATAAAATTCTGGTTTCCTATAAAATTATTTTTCTATAAAGTTATTTTAAACTTCCGTGGTACCCATCAATCGATAGCGAAATTAATAGTTTCATATTAGTAATCTACACATACTAGTAAAAATCTAACAACGTTGTACACAATAATTTTTTTTTCCGTGCTTAATCGGATCGTCATAAAGGTCGGCCGATAACGACCTTGCTTAATCGGGTATCACGGCTTGTGGTAAGAGGTAATGGGTCTCAATTTTAAAATTATTATAAATTACTTGTTATAGGTTTGCTATTATTTCCTATGTAAAAAAAAAAAAAAAATTTGCAAAATCGCGCGATAGAATAAAATAGAAGTGACATTTATTCACGATTATGAAACGTAATAGATAAATAGACCGGAGTTACCGGAGCAACCGATTTGGTTGTCATAGAAAATTCATGGTAAAATCATAATTAATTTATAGTGGATTGTACATTTTTTAATAAATACATAATCACTTAATATAATACTAATTAATATTATGATTTTACAATGAATTTATGATGTCAACCAAATAGTTAACTCAAATCAGCCTTGCCTGTAACGGTTTTTGATTTCCACGCGCGATCCCATAAATCTAATTTACGCTATCACACTCATAACATTTTCGCTTCAAAATGATACTCAATATTCAACTTAATTGCAACAAGTTATTTTGACGCCGAAAATGTATCACAAGTGCAGAGTAAAATAACCTAACTCAAGAAGTCGATCATTTTTTAGGTGGTGGGTGATTGGGTGAATGCTTAGCATATATCAGTGGTGAATACTGACTCTTATGTATGGGCATGCTCATTTATCATAATGTTTTATAGTTACATTTTATTTATAATTAATAAATAATACACAAATTTGTATTAATTTATTCATAAGACTTTAATTTAATATATATATATATATATATATATAATAACACTTACTTAAATAATATTTAACTAAATAAACAATAGGTATTAAAAAAATAGCACAACAAAACAAAATGAAGATAAATTGTCATATACTCGTACACGTAAATTTTATAAATTACGACATTGACGAAGCGCAACAGAATGAGTATGCTCTGGGAAATAAATGGCACCTTCTAATTATTTACTTAATTTTTAAAACTTTTCAGGTGATACGTATAGTATATAGTATATGTCAAAATTATGTACATGTATAAATATAATATAATTACCTTTATATTGTAGACAATTTAGCACAAATAAATAATTGTTGGCATTATTTTGATATAACCATCCAGTGATTGCTTAATTATAACTAATCAAAATAGTGCACGTTCTATTTCAATAAAGCAATATTAGTTATGACTAAAGTCAAAAATTTTTCGCGCTTTTAGGCGCTTTAAAGTAGTTTTGTTATACTAGTGTGCGGTCACTCTTACCTTTTTCTTCTTTTTCCTTGTTCTTCTTTCTCCCAATTCGAGGTTCATACATTCTGCTATTTTGAGCCAATATGACATTTTTAAATTCCTATCATTATATGAAGGAGAACTCATGTCCCAGAGACTTGGAAGGTTTTGGATCTCCAAAATCAATTTTCCGTATCAAACATAATATAATGTATAGATAATAAAATAAATATATACATATATAGTATATTACAAATATATTTTAAAATGCTAAAATTATTAAAATTTAAAAATGATAATTAATTAATTATCAATTTCGGTCACCGATAATCCGGGCAATTGTGATCGGATGAACCGAATTGCATGTGTTGTGCTTTACATCAAGAAACGTAACTGCACGGTTGGACCGCAACACACGTTCATGCCACCGGCGGCCCCACCACGAAAATTTTAAAAAAATTTTATTCAAATATTTTGTACGTAATTTGTATGAATTTATACGACAGTTTTCAGAATTTGTACGACGTTGTTATTTGACTTATATCAAAAATACCGAATAAAATTTTTTTTAAGTTTTCGTGGTGGGGGGACGGTAACATGGACGTCCGCAACACGTTGTGGTCGCTTCCCGACGGTTTTTAATCGGTTCCGCAAATCGATCTAGTCTGGCCCTGATAACGCGTTTTAAGTATATTTAAACCTATTATATTTTGACTGTTGCGGTTTCGTCACCAATCGTCTCCGGTTAGTCGGCAACTGACAAAACGCATAATATGATCCTAGCCTTAATATTTTATGTAGCATAATATGCTCATATTATGAGGTATGTATATAAGAAACAGATAACACGGACACAATTACCCCCTATTTAGAAAATGAAAACGATTTAATATTTAATCGCAACACCCAAAATAGAATAGCTTTCAGATTAGGAAATCCATTATCGCAACTGTACAATAGATTTGTAATCTAATTTATTTCAAGAATCATTTGGTTATCAACAACCGGATGTGATCGGACACAATCGTTATAAAATATACCAGGGGATCCAAACCTCGGCCCTCGATGCCTTTCTTTTGCACCCCCCCCCCCCCAACAATTAAATTAATTATTTATATTATTAATTAAAAATTACAGTCACAATAATACTTTAACAAAATCATGATATGATCGTATACATTTTACATTTTATATTTATAGTTCCCGTGATAAGACACGATGGAAAGCGAGCATTAATAATATATAATAATGTGCACATAAAATATAATTATAAAATAATATATAAATAGACAAAATATAATTTTTTTTTCTTTTAACCCACCCGGTGTGTTAAAGAAAGTGTAAATTTTCCCGCGAACCACAAAAGGTTGAATCACCCTGATATATACCTTCGCCTGTATTTGTAGCTGTGCTCAGCCCCCACAGTTCAAAAATTATTCCGGCGCCACTGGCATGGATTTTATTAAAATAGAAAATAGAAAAAACATTAAAACATAACCAATAAAACTATTAGGATAGTTCGTAACATAATATTATTCTTTACACCGTTCAAAACCACTGTACAACAATATTGGCTACTATTATAGACCTTTGTATATTATAGAGTGTGTATGTTACTATAGGTATACATTTTGTATTACATTTATGAGTAGCTACAAGAGCTACAAATAAACGACTTCAAAAGGAGGTAATTTTAAATTTCCCTTTACACATACTAACACTAACCAACAAATATTCCATAACTTATTATACCCTTTTACCCTTTTAATACAACGTTATTATGGAAAATTCTCCATTTTTAACAATTATAATTCTCAAAAATGATAAAACTACTTCATTAATTATTTCATATATTGGCGATCCTAAAATGATTGCTGGTGACCCTTAAGGCGGCCGTGACCCCCAGTTTGAGAATCGCTGAATTTAAGTTTAAGGGGAGAACCACCAGGGGCATATTTTATGGGTTCTGAATCCGTATTTAAGGAATTGATTATATGTGAGATACACATTTCATATTTTTTTAATGTGGATCATTTTATAACGAAATCAAATTATACGTGGCTGTGAATACTGAATTGGACTTTTTGTCGACCTAACCTAACCTACCTATATCAAATCTAAGTAAAATTGTTTTAAATGTTGTAATGTATTCTTATTTTAATTGTATTAGTAAGTTGTTATCTAGAATATGTTTATTATTACATCAATAACTAACAAATTACCCTGATTCATTTGATTATAACATACTCAAATTCATAGTTGATATATACTTATATGAATGGATATTATGTAAACTAACAGTGGTGGGTTTAATGACTACTGGATAAGTAAAAACATGTTCGACCTAGTTAACCTAGTAACCTAGTTAAATAACTAGGCAGTCCGAAACTCCGAAATATGTCAAGACAGTTGACAACGTATCCTAAGCCAATTTCGATTTACAGGCAAACTACAACTTTAATTTTGGTAGGGCTAAAGTATTAAGACAAAACTGACACGCAAGTGCTATGCCCCTATTTTATTCAATCACATACAAGTACAGTTTTAGTTCTATTCTCTACTATAAATTCAAATTTTTTTTCTGAACAAGTTCTCATAATTTAATATATGAATTTGAAATACTACACACGCACATGCCACAAGTGATAATATCACAGTTATAAGTTATAACTTATAAGTTCAGTTGCATTGCTGCAATTACACTTTTATGCCTCCATGCCACCACGGTTCCACAATTATCAAGGAAAACTACGCTGGTAACACTGTATATACTTATTTCCATGACTATATTATCACTATAGTTTCGGTTAAATATTTTGAATCGAAATCCCTATCAAAGGTTATGTTATCAGTGTTATCGCTTTATCACTTATCAATAATAATCATTTTTAGTTAAAATTCGGTTTGCATTTTTAATTTTAGTGTAAATGGGTATATATTGTAACGTTTATTACTTTTTAAGTTTACATGAATGTTATAGTATGTATTATTAGTCGTGGTCTTTTTTTTTTTATTTATTTTAAATTTTGAAAAATTAAATCTTAAAATGTGTCTGTTATTAAGAAAACAACATCATTGGAATTTTTTAAAATTAGCGTGGCAAAAAAAAACATGTTTTTGCGCTCAAAGATTGTATTCAGAGGATTCAAATGAAATTAAGGTGCCTTTCAAAATGACCGGTCGATTTGCTAGTAATCAACAAAAAACTATTATATCAGATTTTATTGCTGTGTCAAATTCTAAAAATGTTGATTGGAATGCATTGAAGCAGTCTGTTTTGTCTCTTAATCGAGGGTATATAAACGAAAAAAATATAAATGGATGCATATTAGAAAAATGTACTCAAAAAAAGCGTTTAGATTTAGCAAAGTCGTACATGAAGTATGTTAGAGACTGTAGTCAGACTAAACCAATTTTATCACTAGAACTTTTATATCTTCGTTCATGTTATATGTCAAGATATCAATTGACAGATGACGATCGAAATGAAATTCAGACTAATTGTCAAATGCTGCTAAAAAATTATTCACATTTATTGAATTGTTTTCTTCTTGAAAGTAATAGTTATAATTAAAAAATAATAGTTTCTTAATTTAAATTAATTTTACTGTGTAATATGCATTTAGGTATTGTTATGGGACTTTGTTGTACAGATATGTGGCGTGATTCCTTAGAACATTTGAAAGTTGTGAAAAATAAAAATGAAATTAGCATGACTACAATGATTTGTATAATTTTAAAAGCATTTGAAGAAAAAGAATTTGATATAGGGTGGACACTAATACAAGATATGTATGATCAGTATGAAATGCTATCAAATGAAGTATTTGTTGCTTGGTTTAATCTTTGTGAAAAAAATATAAATTGTAGCTATTTGAAAGTATTAGAATTTTTGAGAGATAATGAATGTATTGTTCGAGAAGATTTAGCCAAATTAATTCATGATAAATTTAATCAATTTGGTAATAAAAGTACTACAACAATGATTTATCATCATAAGTAAGACACTTTTATTCATGTATAATATTTTCATATGATTAATGTTAACTGTTATTTAGGTGCCTGTTGTAATAATTCAAAAAATTATTAGAATATAACTGTTAGAATTATGACAAGTCTTTGATGTAACAAAAACTTTCAATTTTTTCGAAAATAATATATTATTTAAAGTTTAATAAGACACATACTTATACACTCGCACACATTATGCATTATTTATAAATCGGGTGGTCGAAGTCCATCCAAATCAAATTTTAATATTTAATAACTTTTCATATTACATTGAATAGCATTGATAGTATAAAGTAATTTATTTTCTATAAAAATAATCTTGTTCATATAAAATAAAAATATTTTTGCAAAATATAATAATACTATGTTTTATCAGGTGCCTAATAGTGTTTATTGTTGTTAAAAAAAAATTGTGCATATTTCAAACTCATTATGTTTTTTTTTTTTTATAGAAACATGTTGACTATATCATGTATTATTTAATTTTTTAGTGGGAAATGTAAACATTGTAATCAAATCTTAAAACCAGTTGAAGTAACTGACTCTGAGTTTAAGAAACTTCAAGAATGTTTTTTGTCTAATGTAATGATTGGAAAAAATATATTTAATAACTCATCTCCCCAGGAATTTAATGATTTTAAAGATTATATAGAAATGACTGCCCCATATGATGTGGTAGTTGATGGATTAAACTTAGCATATGCCTATCGTCAAAAAATTTCTAATAATTCAATAGTTAGTACAATATAATAATTAACTATTTACATAATGATAATATTAAAAATGGTTGAGACTAAAATGTCTCATTGTTACACACTATTGGTTTATTGTATATTGCTCTAATGGTTTTTTAAACTTGAATTTAATGTATGATTGTTCTCGAAAAATGGTATTGAGTAAAAGAGGTAAGGTCAAACAGTTTTATGTATTTCCAAAGATAGTTGATATAATAGAGAAACTAAATTTCTTATTAAGATAGGTTGGAGTTTAAATTTTCTAAATTATGCAAAAAATTAAAAATACATATAAAATTTAAAAAAATCAAAATTGTTCAATGCTTATAAATAACACAAAGGTCAGTAATTTGAAACTCTGATTTTTTTTAACTAAAAAATAGGAAATATCCAATTTCAATTTGTTGTATCGTTTTTGCAACATTCGATTATTATTATTATTTTTTTTTTTTTTTGACAACAAATTAAATCATATAAAAATTCTTGTATCCAGTTTGGAAGTTTTAAGTATAAAAATTGAAAATGTTATACATTTTGACTACAAAAATATACCGGATTTATAATTTTATCAAGATTTAATAATTAAACATTTATAATTTTTTTTTATTATTATTAATTGATCAAATATATGTATGAGAAACTAGGAGCTATATACAAAGAAAAAACATACAATCTAAAAATATTTAAGTAAAGATTTTATACATTATGTATTAATATATAATCAAAACAATTTGCTTTTAGACGAAGATTATTATGAAAACTTTTATTGAAAATAAAATGAAAGTATTATTAATTGGCAGAAAACATTTAATTAACATGTTGGGAAATGAATTTGATTTTATAAAGAGAAATGCCCATATATTTTTTACAAATGATGTGTAAGTATTCAATTAAATATACAATATTAAAAATAATGTTATTATTTTTTATTTATTTATTTTTTTGAATCAGATCTAAAGATGATCCCTTTGTTTTATATGCAGCAATGTATAGTGGTTTTAATACAAAAATTCTTACAAGGGATCTTATGCGAGGTCACAAATTTTTGTTGAAAAATACTGAAATGAAAAGTGTATTTCAAAAATGGTTACAAAAACATAGATTAGTATTACAACTTCGTAAAGGGGATCATGTTGCTGTTAAAGTTAGTTTTTAAAACATAATAGGGCATGGTAGAACATATCAAATACATTTATTATAATATAACATTTTCAATGTTTCTTTTTATTTTGTGTATGTTCATGATTTCAGGCACCTATTACTTATTTACAAACAACACAAAATAATATAAATGGTATATGGCACTTACCTTACAAAGAATCAAAAGATCCTGGTTCCTGGTCAAAACCAGATTCAACTCCTGATAAATGGATGTGCATTAAAACATGAATAAAAATAAATGCATTTTAATTAATTATTTTTGTTTTTAGTATATTGATTATTATTTCAGTTAAAAAATGATATAAACAACAATATTTAGTACATTACTGCATATGTATATGCATATTTAATGTTATTTTGTCATTTTTGTTTAGTATTTTATTATAATTATCATATTAAGTTAAATTAGTGTTTATAAAGGGGATTGATAAATAATTGTTAAGAATTATAATTGTTTATTTTGTAGATTCTACTTATTAAAATTTAAAAACAAGTAGCAATTAAAAATTTTATCATAATTCATTGCTTAAAATGAAAAAAACTTTAGATCGTTCCATAAAACATGCTAAGATTTGGTATCATCAATTAAACTTTTTTTATGAAATACTATAAACTGTAAAATTTAAAATGACGGTATATAGTCTCCTAATTAATATACATTAGGTCACTTGGTCCACATACAAGTAAATTTTTTTATTCAAATTATAATGGTGTACGGATGAATTTTCAGACTTTAAATTTAAATGATAAATGTAATTTGTAATTATGATCATTTATAATCTTAAAATTATAGCAAATATTACATTGAGAACATACATTATTGTTATAACTAGTCATATTAGATTAATTGTATCAAAAGATATTGTTTATAATTGCAAGTATTTCTGTATTGTGTGTGATATATACTAATATTATAATATAAATTGACTGATTATTTAAAATATTTTTATATACAATTTTTTAATATATACTAGATAATTTTAAAAAAGCTTTTTGTTTATTCTTTTCAATAAACTACTTAAATTAATAAAATATTTGGTGAATTTAAAATATTTTAGTATCAATTAATGGTAAAATCAATAATATGAAGTTAGGTATTTAAGAAATGGATTAATATAGTATGTTAAATACTTAAAATATAAATAATTAAATTATTTTATTTTAGTCGCCTAATGCATTTAAATATTTCACTTAAAACCTACATTTTTTACGGTTATGTTTTTTATTATGTTAATAGTATTGGTGTTAATGTTATGCTATAGTTGTTAATATTATAAAATCAATGACTGTACAGGTAGGTACATAAAATGTGAATATCACTAAGAGAGCAGAGTAACAAAAGAGTTGTAATTTGAAATATCCTTATAAGTTAGAAAAAAATCTAATAGATGTTACATAGCTTTTATTATTGTCTACTATTTTATCATAATCCAAAACTCAAGTAGGTAGGTACCTCAACAAATTTTGTTTTCTGAAAAACGTGTTAACCAGGCGCAAATATTGTTTGAGATTTAGAGGAGCTAAAAAATTATTCATAATACATTTTTCTACCTATGTACAATATACTGGTAGTATAATCAGTGGTGCTTTAACGGCGGGGTCCAGAGAGTCTTGACTCCCCTGAGGCCCCGAGTTAAAGCTTAAAATGTTATGTTATTTAAAAATTCTAAATGTCGCCATTGAGTATAATCTTAATTTCGAGAGGAATTATAACTAATCTAGGGGTTTGGTCTTTCCCCATTATTTGTGCCTATGGTGTAGACTAATGCCTATGTGAAAATATATCTTAAAATAGAAATTAGACAAAAGCAAAAAAAAAAGGAAAAAAGTAGTAATGATTAAGTTGCTGCCATTATAAAAAAGATAATGAAAATTAAACTAGACACAAAGGCACATTAAATGTACCTATTTGTTTTGCTCATTTAAGGTATAGTAGGAATGTTGAAAAATGTGGTTTTGTGTTTTTAAATAAATGATAATGATTATTTTAAAGTTAACGATGTCGTTAACCATTATACTCATTAGGTATATCTTAAATTGATTCTCAGTAGAACTCACTTAAACAAATTTGTCGTAATTTGTCCTATTTTGAATACTATTAAAATTAATGGAATGCAATAAAAGTGTTTGAATTGAAATACAACTGCACTTTTTAAATTTTTTTTTAACAATTTTAAAATGTATTGTACCTAATTGAAATTTATTTTAAATAGTGAAATAGGAATTCACGCTTTCAACATCGACAAACCATTAAAAATCTGCATTTTTACCATTTAAAATTAAATTTAAGTATAGTTGTCTCATCACGATTCGTATCTCTGGTGTAGACACAGTTCACCCATCTTTTGTTACTCTAGGTACTTCTGCAATTCATAAATATTTTTCTAAATAAATTTATCTACATGGATAAAAATGTTAGAGCTATTATACTAAGGTTATTAAATATTTTCACTATTCATTTTGTTTAAGAAGATTAATTTTAAATTATGCCATATACAAGAATTGTGAAATTTTTATTTTATTTATTAATTCATATCGAGTCAAGGAAAAAATGTTTATTATAAATAGATAATGTTTATTATGTGCTTTTAATAAATTAAAATGTATGATACCTCCGGTATTTATTTATCAATTATTAATACATGTATATTATACTTATATACGGCATGAACAGTAGATACATCATTTTAGTAAAAGTATATTATACTTGTTCAAGGAAAAAATTATTTTACATTACTATAAAATGTATATATTTTATACTTGGCTTAAAACATTTCCAGTTGTTTACTGTGAAAAGAAATCAATTGAATCTAGAGAAATCGAAAAACGTTGTTATGCCTTATCGGACAGTAAGGCAAGATACAACTAATACAAGATACTAACCTAAGTATTTTTATTTTATACAAAAAAAAATTTCTCTTCCTTATATGGTGTATATATAGTTTTTCCAGTATCGCTATTCACAGAATATAATGTATAACCATTGATTAAATATTTAATCAATGGTATAACCTACTATTTTAGTCTATATAAATTCTGATTTAGAAAGAGTAATAATATAAATACAAGGTTAATCTTGGATGATTTCAATTTTTATCGACATTAGTATGTTGTTTTCATAAATATTCTGTATTTTAATATATTGATAGTAAGTTGTCGACATAAACAAACGAACAAAATTTATGACGGTTGTATTGAGTATCGTAGTAAAAGAAAAAAAGCTAAACCAAATATGTGTAATTGATTTTAATCACAAGATGTTATAGTAGTAGTTCGTTGTTGTAGACAAGTAGTGGAGTGCCCGTACATAATTGATCAGACAAAATATGTGATGGGTGCGTCTTTAGTATTGTTATTGTTTATTTTTCTGGAATTAATTATGTAGAAAAACCGTGTTGGAACTACAATCAACTGGCGACCGTCGTACTAAAAAGTAACCACGCGAATTTCTTTCTTGTAGTAGTCGCCCGTTCGAATCGACCGAAATTTTTTGTTTCGATACGTTATTAAAACAATATCGTGTATTAATCACGCACGGCTGCGACTGGACGGGATATTATATCGAGTAATGTCGATACTACTAGTAGTAGTAATAATAATAATAACCATCGAAGACGTTAGCATTACGGTCGGTCGGCCGTCGTCGCCCGTATGTCCTTCCTTTGTGTTTTCGTGACGTTTGTGTCGTCGTCGTCGTCGTCGTACCACACATCGTAGCACGTACCACGGTGTAAGGTGTTGCGCCTTCGTTGCCGTGCCTGGCCGTGATACGGCGCCACGATCGCAAATCTGGTTTCACCTGGCGCGCGCATGCGCGCCACCGCCAGTTTTATCGTTAGGCATTCGGCCGTTGTCTGGTGCGTGACGTTTTGTACGTGCGGCTGACGTTGTACCGTATTTATATTATTATTATTATTTTCTTGGTTCCCCTCCGGTTGCCGTCGCGTCGAAATCCACCGCCGCCACCGCTCGTGTACGTCCGTACGTGCGTGTTTTGTAGTGCACTAGTGCAGTGCAGTGTGCGTCTCGCTGTTATTAAAATACGTTTCGCGCTCGTCCGCGCGTTTTCCGCGATTTTCTTTCTCCTCCCGCGTCAGTGTTCGACCGTTGGTGCGCACATCGTACGATAATATTGGTAAATAATCAATCCCGCAATGTGCCAGTGAAAAACGTGAGCGTTCCCGAAAATAGTTTTACAATATTTAAAGTTGTAAATTTTCGATTCTCGCGTATTGTGCGACGACGGGCGCCGCGCAGCAGTGACCGCGTTTTCCGCGACGTAGTTCGGAACATGGCCCCGGGGCCGCTGGTTCGACAGCTACCTGTTGTTTCTCACGTCGGTAGTGTCAACGAGATGATGTGCAACCGCGATCGCGGCACCGCTGTCTGCCGAGGACACTGATCGGAGCAGAGGAGATACCCATACCGAAGTGAGTGTTGATTATATATATATATATATATAATATGTTTAGCGAACGTATCGCCGTGACGTTTCCCCGTTACGAAATACGACAGTCGGCCGAATATAAAAAAAAAACCGGCGGTTGGGTTGGGACGCATTTGAATAGGGCGGCGGTGGCGGCTCCCGTGTTGGGTATGCGCTACCTGCGCACCACCCGTCGCCGCCGCGGAGTTCACGTATAGATTGCGTGCAAAGATGGCTGCCGGCCGTGTCGGACACGGCGACCAGGTAACCTCTTTATTAGTTTTTTTTTTCGCGTATCCGTTTATCCGCTTCACGTGCGATTTCCAATCCTCGGGATTTCGGCCCGCGAACCACGGAATTACGGTGCATATGTGTAGCCACAACAATATGGTATGTCTCTCCGAGGACCGGTTCGCACGTTTCGGGGTATTGCGGATGACGTCTCGTGTTATGCGATGATAGTCGTGATGGCGGGAGGATACGTGCACGGAGATAGTCCCCAAATGAGATAACGATTCGCTAAGTGTGTCGCGCGAATACACAAACCTACAACATAGACGTCCCCAACGCTCGATCCTTCGTATTATCAATCGCAATTGGTCACTACGAATAAATATTTTTCGAGATCAAGTCTTATTGACGGTTTTGCGATTTTTTTCGCATCTTTATTCGCCGCAGCCGTTGGTCGTGTGTTGTTGGCGCGGCGCGTGCCCAAATCGTATGACCGTCGATGGATGCAAGAAATAAATGAAATATGGACCGGGGCCAATAATATATTCGATGAAACGGTGGGGCCGGCGGTAACAGAGGGCGAGACTCTGTCGTCGGTCGGTGTCATATTTCATAAAATTACTCATCAACAATGTATCAATGATGGGTATGTCGTTGGTTTGTTTTTCTGTTAGCTTCACAACTCAGTACGCCCACGACGTTGCCCATACGTAAGAAGATTTTTTAACGGATTTAGTTTGCTGTGCATTAAATCCTCTTAAAAATCTTACTGTGTTGTGTTCTGGGGATTTAATCCTTGCGAATTGAAAATCAGCCATATTCAGTTCAACTGATCAAATTTTGCTTCTCCACTGATTAAAAATATCAAGTCTTTTACAATTAATTTTTATTTTTTGGAAATAAATTTTCTTTCTATTATTCCTATTAATAATTATTTTCGTTCAACTCTTGCAATAATGGCATATTACCAAAATAAGTCCCTTTTAGCGAGCCAGTTTTCTACCCATTTATGCCTCATATTCCTTTTTGAGATATAATGGTACCCTACATAATCAATACTACATTGGCTTTCATTTTTTTATCCCGAAGACTATTTTATTCATTATTTTATCAATAAAAGTATAAAATAACATTTATTTAACAAAAATTCATAACATATTAACAAAACAATAACTGATAAATCAGCTGTAATTCATTATATAAATTCGTAAATCTTTCAGAATGTCTGAAAAAAACCGGAGGACTTAATCCTCAGCATAAAAATTAATGGTTTTCCTCCACTAAGACTAAGTCCGCTAAATAATGCGGTCCGTGAAAATATAAGGACTTTTATTTTTATGCTAGTGGGCACTACTGAAGACCTTGTCCGACGGACTAAATCCGTTGAGGATCTAAAAATTAAACTGTCATTAAATTCTTACGTGTATGGGTACCTAATCGGCCCAGAACACGGATAGACTTGAATCGTTTTATGAGCTCATTTATTCGTTTATCGATTTCTTATCAGAAATAACGTGACAACAACCTTTTTTCTGGGAACGTTAACTACAAGACTATATTTACACAAACTCGTGCAGTATGAAAGGCTACGGGAAAAACAATATGGTCTATATTCCTAAACTGTTTTAGTATTGCGGTTTTCAAGTATCAGAACTTAAAAAAAGTAAGAAATAAAGTACAAAATTATTGAAAAAAATGTATTATGATAATACTCATTTTTAGGGGTCTCAAACGATATATTTTTAAATATCGATATCGAATTGATACAACCAATATTTTATTACGGCATTGAAATATCGACAAATCGAAAAACCTATTTATTTTTATTTAGTATTTAGTATCTTCTAATATTTATACATTGTACATACCTTGGTATATATCGAAAATTCAACATATCGGTATCAATAATTTATCAAAAATATAACATATAATAAAAAAAAAAAAACAAAGTATAGATCAATTTTTTTAAATTTATTATTTAAAAATTATAAATATCATAAATATGAATATGAGGTAAATTAATTAAAATAAAAAAATCCACCATGTCCTTTTGGTATGATTTATTCTGCGTGAATTTTATTTTTATTTTTTTTCTACACTTTCGTTTTCATATGACACATGTGCTCTATGAATAAATTAAAAACTAAAAAAAGTGGGTTAACAGAATATGTGAAAATTAATAAAATAAGAATTTATAATGAGCTACTTACAATGACGTAATACTAGGTCTGATCGACCTATACATTGTAAATGAAAATAATAAATATTAAATATTATATTTTATAGTTTATAGTTTATAGTTTTATACCTTAAATAGGGGTCACATATGCATGCGCGTGCGAGTGAAAGAGTACCTAATCCCCAATGCATTTACACTTACTTATGAATAACGATAATTATTAATTAATAATTATTAATTTACTACTAATACTAACACACTGCATAATGCGTTGAATCACGAAATTACCTACACACAAATCCTTAATAAATGCCCCATTTTTCGTTAAGTGATTTTTTCTATATAGGAAAAACATACCTACATTACGATATTTATTTAGATATCGATATTAAACATATCATATTTGTACTCGATATCGTTTGAGACCCCTACTAATTTTTGATAAAAAAAATAAAAAAAAAATTTAAATTTACTTTTTAAATCAAATGACTAGTTGAATTATTATGAGATTTCTTTTTTTTGACTATTATTGTTTTTCCTCATAGCCCTTCGTATTGTTACTAGTTGTCACTCATGGACACAACATCGGTATGTGGTTTCCGTTAGCAACGTGTTTAGTTTGTCAAAGGTCGATGTGTCTACGGCTGCTAGCGCTGTCGTGCACGAGTCGACAAAAGAGTCATTTCCTTGGTTATTTCTTTCCCGTCGGTTGAAAAATAATTAAAATAACTTAGACGACGTATATCATATATAATCATGTGAACAACTCTTTCGTTACTGGTATAAAGATAACTCATTCAATGTGTATTTTTCTGATGATTCAACATTATTTGATAATTATAGAGTTTTAAATCGTTAACCCGTGTTTGCTTGATTTTCCTTATCGCGGAACCCATTTCTGACTTATTATACAATATAAGAAATGATAAACTGAAATATGCTTGCTGCTAGTGACAGTTGGATTGGATTTTTTTCAGAATTTTTTTGTGTCTGTACAAAATTCATAAAAAAAATCTATCAAATAGATAATAGAATTCGTAACGCGAAAATAATCCCATTAAATTTATTGTATAAACAAGCCAATCGACTCTCAATATCGCACTAGCTTAAATTTATCTGTATTATTGTAGAATATATTTCAGGAAACTTGTTATTTAAAAATGAAAAATAAGTACCTAATACTAGCATTGATTGAACTTATCTGTACAATTCATGGTACACTCTAGTGTGAATATCATCTACAATCATACATAAGTACACAATTATCCCTCCAAGTTAAGTAGAATCTTCAGAGTCCAGAATTATTGTAGTGATACTTTATTTTTGAGGTTATACCTTATGAAAACGTGTAGTTTTTTTTTAATAGAAATATCTAGAAAAATTATTTAAAAATGTAAAGTTGGTAACCCAGTAAATTATATTGTTCTCAAATATGTCATGCAAATAATTAAATAAAAAATATATTTTTTAAGTAAATCACCCTTACCATTTACTATTTTTATTTTTATGAGTTGTTATCGTCTTACTAATTGTATAATGTATGATTCGGGGTTTTGCTTCAACCCTATTTGAATAAATTATAGTTTGGATGGAGTTGATCAAAATTATTTTTTTCTTTTCTTGCTAAAAGTATATTTGTTATAACTCATGTAATATATGCTCTTCAATTATTTTGTTATTACACAAGTATTTAAGTAGGTATCAGTATATTATGTATAAAGCTCATAAATTATATTAATGTTATTTAGTTGCGTTTTATTACGTTTTATTTTATTTTGAGTGATGATTGGGTTGTAATTGTTATCTTATGTAAATGGTTTTATGATAACATTTCATTTTTACAATAAAGTAAATATATCTATTCTGTACTAGCATAGGGTAATAGTAGTGATGTGTTATTTGAAATTATTTTTCTTCGTCATGTTATCAATATTTTGTTCATATATATATGATATATCCATTTTTTAAGAGTTCATTGTACAGCCTTTATAGTGTCATTCCTACGAACACAATAAAAAGTATTAAATAATTATCTAAAGTTATATCCTTTTTTATTCTGTGATTTTTTGCTTTTGTATTTTGTTATAAATAAAAATGCAATATTTATAAGTTATATTTTGGGTCTTATTTGAGCCTGAATCAAATATATTTCAATTCAAAGATTATACCATGAAATATGTCTTGTAAGTAATATGATAAGGTGATGATGAGTGTCTTATCTGTGGAATGTACTCGACTGGTAGTAGATTATGGTAGCATATTTTTTTTTTTTTTTATTATTTATTTATTTATTTTTTTTTTTTTGTAATTGTTATTCTATGAATTGGTGTTGTTTTAGATTTTTACATGATATTCTTTAATTGTTACATAATGTAGTTACATTCTTTAGCAATACTTACTTATTTATTTTGTATAAAACTGTAAAACAGGATGTTTACATGTAGGAAGCATGTTGATTTTAAAGTTTATTTTAGATTTGAAGTTAAGCAACTATTTATTGGATCAAATTAATATCAGTATAATAGCTTAAAATTAGTTATCGGGTTATCATTACATTTCTATATTTAATTTAGGTATAGGTACATATTTATTTT